TTCTTTGTCTCAAGATTCTCTCTGCTCTCATCCATCCTCCACTCAGCTGTCAAAGTGATCTTCCTAAAGCACAGATCTGACCATGTCACCACCACACACATTCTCATTGAATAAATGTCAATGACTCCCTGTCATCTCCAGGATCAAATATAAAATTCCTTTGTTTGGCATTCGAAGCCCTTCAGAACCTGGCCCCATTCTCGCTTCCCTGTCTTCTTATACATTCCTCCCCTCCAACTATCCTGCCATCTAGTGACAATGGCATCCTTGATGCTCCTTGAACAAGATCCTTCATCTTCCAATTCTGAGTACTTTTATTGGCTGTCCTTCATACCTGGAAGTCTCTCCCTCCTCACCTTTACCTCCTGGCTTCCCTGAACTCTGTTGAGTCTCAGTCAAAGACTCACCTTCTACAAAAAGCCTTTTCCTGATCTCTCTTACTGCCGGTGCCTTCCCTCGGCTGATTTATTTCCATTTTTTTCCTGGGTCCATCTTGTCTGCATGTAATTGCTTGCATGTTGTCTCTCCCCTTAGAGTGTGAACTTCTTGAGGGCAGAGACTGTCTTTTACCTCTCTTTGCTTAGCACAATGCCTGGCACACAGTAGGTACTTAATAAATGTTCGTTGACCATCCATTTCAACTCCAAATCTATGATCCTGGGCTCCTACAATGTTCCGCCCATGCCTAAAGAACACAGCCTCTCCCCACTTTAGTAGGTGAGCAAGCAAAACTGCTGTAGCCAGCCTTCTTGAGATGAGTCTTGACTCATCAATGAGCTTGACTGCTCCTTGGACTATAGACACCGACTCTCCCCAGACCACATCTAAAGCCTTTCCAGGTAAGAGCAGTAAGGGATTGTGCTCTGAGCTCAGCATCACCTATACACTGCCATGGGGCACCCAAGAAGGAGGACTCTTAATCATTCAGGGAAAAGATGCTCTGCTCTGACCGGAGACTCTCAAATGTTTGGGACTACATTTCCAAGCAATCCATATTGTATACAGTAGGTGTTCAATCAATATTCTTTGGATGGAGGAGTGAGTCATGATGAGTCATTACAAATTCTTTAACTGGCTGAATGTTTTAAAAAGAAAGGAGCCCCCAATACCCCCCAGGTACTTTATCTGGAGAGAAGTAGGAACATTGAGTCAGTCATCAGAATATTTTTAAATATTTAGCTGTTTGGGAAAGTACAGGAATAAATATCCGGGGGACATTTCAAAATGTTATTAAACTTTTCATCTGGATGGCTGAAGTTTGGGGCTGTGTCTCCACCAACCTTCTAGGTGAAATATTGGTAATTATAATAATGATAATAACAAGAAAATAGCCCACATCTATACAACACTTTGGAGTTTACAAAGTGATTGACATGAATTATTTCATTTTACTGAAGGGACTTGTGGAAGAACCGGAGAGCTGACTCCAAGATAAATTGATTTTCATCAATCTAATGGATTTGTTAAGTTAATTGAGTGGATTATTTCGGGATTTTAAGAACACAGCTTGAACCATTTCTTTGTGCTGCTTGGTTTCATGGCCAACAGCTTCATTGGGACCAAATTTACTGACCACACACCTTAAGGCAGAATTCAGCAGAAATCATCATTTTTCAGCAAACAGCAGTTTAAATTCAGGCTGCCGGAGATCAGCAAGGTGAGCTTCTGAAATGAAGGGGGGCAAACCGACGCTGTCCTTGTTGTCATCACTGATGATTATTAGCCACGGATCAGCATAATGATAACAACAACAACAATAATAATACCAGCTGCCACTGAGGCTCAGAAGATATTTTATAGAATGATTCTCACCACAGCCCTCAGAAATGGGGGTTACTTCCCCCATTTTACAGGTGAGAAAAATGAAGAGAAATGAATCACTCATAGCTGCGCAGAGACTGGATTCAAGACCAGCCTTTCTATTCTTTCCATTTTTTTTAAACTTTTATCCCTATTTTTGTTTTTCCATCACCTAATTTCCCAGTACATATCTGTCTTCCCTTCCTGGCCATTCACCTTGGTAACAGAATGAAAGAGAAAGAACAGCAATTCAGCAAACAGTGGACCCCTGGAATCAGAGTGATGGGAGCTTGGAGATCATTGGAGCCAGTCTCCTCATTTTACAGATGAGGAGACTGAGTCCCAGAGGCAGGAGGTGACCTACGCCATATCATATCGTGTCTGACAGTTTATGCAATATCCCATACCTGAAGCCTCCACTCCTGCCCAAAAGTGAAGGATGGGGGTTGTCTCCTCCTTCCTCTGGTACCGGGTTTGGTTCTTATAATTACACTTTTGTCAAACCCATGTTTTCTGAGACAGAGTCCTCATTCTTTCCAATTCATTACAGCACCAATGGTCAATTACTGCTTCAAAGTAAACTCGGTTTGATAGAGAAGATGACTCAGAAGATCGGAAAGAGCTCTAGGCCAAGTCAGAAAGCTCTAGGTATGAATTTCAGCTCTATTTTCGATGGGAACTGGACAAGGCACAATCTCTCTGGGCCTCAGTTTCTTCATTTGAACAGTAGGTGAGGGGAGGAGGGATTGGACTCCAATGTCCCTTCAAGCTCTGTCATTCTAGGATTCAACGGTGGCTAGAAAACCAATCAAAAGGACACTTCCAGGAGAATCCTAATCTCTCTAGATTATGTCAGATGGATGTTCACTTACCCTGGAAACCTTCCATTTACCTTAAACCAACCGAGCACGTGCCTCCTGGTTTTCCTTTTCATTCTTTAGAGACAGTCAATGATAGAAGAGTTTCATGAAGAGTTTAGACTTTTTACCACTGTTTCTTAAAACCATGGTAAGACTAAGAGCCTGTGGGAAGTGATTCAGTTTGGGGAGGTTCAGAGACCTCTTGAGCACAGGACTGAGTCATCTGGAATGAATCCACAGACTCAAGCACTCCTCCAGTCAGGTGGCAAAAAGTTTATTATAACGCTAACATGGCAGGCAGAGATCCTTAAGGGATTCTGCCATGGAGGGCAGAGCTCCTTAGGGAACTTGCAGCCTAACAGGAATGATGGGAAAGCTTATATAGGAAAAGTAGCAGATTATGTGCCAAGTATGCTAATTAGGTGATAACATACAACCTTGGTCATAGACATCACTCACTACTGGAAACCGTTGAGGGGGTTTCTTAAGGAGTACAGGGATTTATTTTTGGTCTGTTATGTCTGTAACAAGACAGCTTCGGGAGTTGATGTCTATAACTTGACCTCTGGATCATATACTACAACTGTGGGAATCAGTACATGATAGTTTTGTTGATAAAAGATAGCCTCATTCATACAAGAGCAATTCTACAGAGGTCAGCTTGTTCTTGTAACAGGGAGAGATAGTGAGATAGTTTACCTCACTGGGGCCCGCTCATGAGTTACTGCCAGAGATAGGGCTGGGGAGAAAACCGTCAGGGATAATGTTTTGTGGCTAGGGAGAAATGATCTTGGAATTGGGGTCCAAATACAAGCACCCAAGCACCCCATCAGTAAGGACATCCCTAGAGCCCAGGACCTTGGTGGACCTAGACATGCTGCAGTGGCTGAAGGCTGGACTGGGCCTCGGGGAGGTGGGCAGCTGGCCAGAAGGGACTGGTGCTAAAAACAACATGGCCCTAGGCACATATGCACATAACCCCCACCCACTACTGCTGAGGCAAAGTCAGTCAAGCATTTACTTAGTGCTTACTGTGTGCCAGGTATTATGCTAAGCAGTGAGGATACAAAGAAAGGGAATAATCCTCCTTATTTTCCTTCTTTCTAATGGGGAAGACAAGATGGATACATACAACTAGAAGTATACAAGATGCAGAGAGGATTGCACATCACAGTCTCAGAGTCGGAAGGAACCTCTGAGGCCAAGGCTAGCCCATGGCTGTGCATGAACCATCTCTACCAGGCTGCAGGAGTGTCTCTGCCTGAAGCCTTCCAGTGATGGGGAGATCCCTCCCTCCCAAGGCAGCGCCTTCCACTCTCGGCTGGTTCCCATTATCAGCAGGGCAGTTGTAAATGGTATCACACCCTCCGTACTATGATTTGTTAGGTGCCTGGCCACCCTGTACCAGTGCTGCTTCGTAAGGCCAGAGTTCCCCTGGAGCCAACAGGCTCTGTCTCCAGCCCCAACATAAACCCTACCCTACAAAACTCAGGACAAGAATGTAAACCAGCCTCGTTTCAGTGTAAAAAGAACAAGAAGATACTGAGAGTCTCATGTTGATTAATTCCTGGGAAGCTTATGTTTCTACCCTGTCTTGGACACACCCATTCCTAAGCCAGAAACCCTGTTAGCAGCACCCATGCTTCAGTTTAGTGGAGATGCTTTCCAGATAGATGGCCTGGCTGATTGGAAGGCCAATTTTTAAAGTATAAACATAACCCCATGACTTGTACACGTTGCCAACATAGCTTTAACAGCTCTTCCAACCCTATAGCCAAGAGTTAGACCTCAGCCTCTGATCATTGCACTCTGACTAAATATTATGGAGATGGCAGAGGAAGTCATGCATGCTTTAGGAATGGTTCATCTATTCCAATATCTGGGTAAAGTTCACTTCAATTGCTGTTTACTGTGCTTTCTTTGTCTAGCACAATGCAGACCTGTTTTCTAATCCTCCCAGTTTAAACAATGAGAGAAAGCATTTCAGCAAATATAAGCGATTCAAATTTTGAAAATCTTACAGATGAACAATCTTTCACATCCCAACCCTTCAAAATGTCTGAGGCAAGAGCACAATTTCTGTCCAAGGATGATGCTCCTGTGGAGCAGACCCAGAGCAGAACACCGTTCAACCTCCAACTTTGATGGGATTCTTTCTAAGTGTGTGTTCTACAGGATTTAATTGACAAGCCAAGGAAAGTTAAAATGTTTTAGAGGGCTAGCATCTGGATTATGCTTATAATCATCTTGGAATTGCTTTTGACCCATGTATATTACCACACCCACCTTAATCAGTCCACCCAGTCTAGCCACATCCATGAAATCTATTGGAAATTTTACCTTCAAAGGTCAGATCCGGCTCTGCCAGCCCGGAATCCAGCTCTTGGGTGCTCTCACCACGGAACAATCCATAGGTGATGAGCACACTTCCATTGGAAAATCTGTTGTCGCTGAATTTAATCTTCCCAGTGACCCACTGTGGGGTGATCAGAACAACACACACAGTTGCCAGCGCCCCCAGGCTGGTCACAAAGCCCGCCAAGAACATCCGAATCTTTTGGGCTGTCGGCATTTTGTCTGAAGGGAAGGAAGTTTCCCTAGTTGGAGGATCGTCTTTTCTAGATCTTGGTCTTTGTTCTCTGGAGCGCCTTGTGTTTCCAGGCGGCTGACTTAAGCTGAAAATGGAAAACCGAGCCCTTTAGGTAAGAACCAACAGCAGTGAACTTTGTCCCATGAGCTCTGGTGATAAAGGGTTGATGTTACTGCACTTTGGTCCCCAGAAAGAGGTTGCCACGGCTACAAGCAGACAATATTAATGAAGGTAGGTGGGCCCTCGCTCCTACTTCCTCATGGCTGATTAATCTATTACTGCCTTGCCCAAGTGCTACATAGCCAAGTTCATTCCCACCATGGCAAGCCAGGGAGGAGAGTTATGAAAATGAGTCAAGAAAGGACCAACCTGCAGTGAGCTCACAGACCTCCCGGCAGCAGAGAAAGGATGTGGACTTTCCTGTGACTCTCAGATTCTGAGCGGGCTATTCTAGCCAAGGAGTTGCCCCTTCCAAGGGTTTTACCCTTTCTGAAAAGAAACTTCGGGAAGGTATGGTTAGATGCCAACATTACCAGGCTTTGTGGGTGCTCCATCTACCATCTCAAAGTGTAATCGTCAGAGAGTTCATAGTTCATGAGATCAGAGGATCTTAGATGTAGGCCTGGAAGGGACTTTAGAGGCCATTATGTTCAGTCACTTTATTTTATAGATGAAGAGGTGAAGAGCAGAGAGGCCACAGGACCACGGACTTAGCACTGGAAGGGGGAAGGGGATGAGAAGGAAGGAGGGGGGAAGGGAGGGGGAGGGGGAGGAGGAGGAGGGACAGGCTGATGAAATCATAGGTCCAGTCAGGCATGAAGCATTTATTAAGTGCCCAGTAGGTGCCAGGCAATATTTCAGGCCCAGAATTTACATGAGCGTGCACAGAAATACACATCCGCCTCCATATCCACCTAGACAGATACACAGTGGAAGCTGGTTTTCCACATTTTGCTATTTTGAATAAACTCCCAAGGATTTCTGTTTATACACAGCCCAGTGTGTACACAGTTTGACTATAATTAAAGATTGTTTTGGTAAGAAGGCGACCTAAGATTTCCCTGACATTCCCATATAGAGGCCTGGTTTTTTGTGTGTTTTTTTTTTGACCTGAGTGCCCTTCTGAATCTATTCATGATTCAGGGCTCCTAGACAAGCTATGAAATCCCAGCTCTGTTTCCTGCCAGGGAGTCTCAGTTGGTTACCCAAGTCCTTCATTTCTGGGTGGCACCTAGAGCCCCACCTCCACTGTAACGCCAGGCTTTTCTTTGCTACTAGAGAAAACAGAGACCAAGCTGCCAGGTAAAGACTAGTCCAGTAATGCAACATGGCGCCTAGGGAAATGGGATCATCCCAGTTAGCCTGCAGTTTAAGGCCATGGTGAGAGACAAGAAAGTCAGCTTCATTTGTGCCAGGAGCCTGGAGGAGTCTAGGTAGTTCTTCCAGCAGACTGTGGGGGAAAGGAATGAAGGTTTCCAAGGAGGCAACCTTTGGAGAAAAGGTTTAATTTTCAACAGAGGAAAAAGTTAGCCTCCTCGTGGACTGGGAAGTAGGCTGAAGCCAGCCACGTGGGGAACCAGTGTTAAACCACGGGTCTTCCAAGGGGATCCACATCATGGTTTAAGCTTGAAGGCATTAAAAGTAGGAACTGCATTTTTCTTACCTCCAAGGAAAATGCACTATTGACATCATTTACCAGGGTCAATAGGATGGGCATCAGCCTACACGTTTGAAGAAAAGTCCCAGTACAAGGCAAATAAAATGCCATGGAGCATTGCAATATGCTGATTAAAGAACTCAACAATCTTGTTTCATTTTGTTCCTTTCAAGGTGGTAGAATCCAAATCATTGAGCATTCCTTCATTCTCACTTTCAACAAAGATTTAAGCAACCATAGTGCATCAGGCAGCTGTGGGGATAACAGGGGAAATGACCTGGGATACAGTGTAGGGATAAGATCTGGGCTCTACCCTCAATTAGCATCAGCCAAATTATTATTGCAGTCCTCATCTCTGAAAAACTATCTCGCTTTAGAAGGCTGGAGAGGCACCTTGGTGGAGTAGAGAACAAGCAAGCTGTGCTTGCATTAGGGGGGAAGGTCATTTGACAGATGATGAAACAGGAAGAGAGAGAACCACACTTACTGTCCCCATCACCCACAAAGGAAGGGGCAAAGATGGGCTTCAGATACAGCTAATGGGGTTTCATCAGAGCCTCACATGAAACATCCCCAAGTCTCAGTCATTGGCTAACCTCAGTGATCTTCCAGTCCAACCAATAAGTCCCTGACCCAGAATCACTAGTCACCTAGACTTTACCTGAACATGTGCAGAGAATGAGAATCCACCAACTCTGAGGCAATAGAGAGTGGAAAGGGAGGGAAAAGAGGCAACAAGTATCTATTCAATGCCTACTGTGTGCTAGGTACTGTGTTAAGCACTTTGCAAATATCTCATTTGATTCTCACAGCTACCCTGGGAGGTAGGTGCTATTATCCCCATTTTATAGTTGAAGGACCTGAGGCAGACAAAGGTTGAGTAACTTACTCAGGGTCCCTAAACTGGGAAGTGCCTGAGGCTAGATTTGAATTCAGGTCTTCCTGATTCCAGGACTACTGCTTTATACACGGCGGGGCCGACATAGCTGCCAAGGGAGCTCATTCCACTTTTCAGGGCATTCCTTCGGCTTCTAGAGCTCCACATGGGGACGCTGCACTCTGAGCTCCAACCAGACCCCACCAGACCCCATCAGCAGGGTGTTTTGCCCAAAGGTCATCTGAAATAGCAGAGCTGGAATGTCCAACCAAGTTTTCAGCTTCCAAGTTTAGAGCTATTTCCAAGTTTAGAGCATCTCCAGGTGGGGTGTGCACCTGCAACCATTTTTAAATAGACAACATCCAGTTAAAATGACCCTCCAGGAAGTCTTGCTGCTTCTCTCCATCTCCAGACTCTGGGCATTTGCCCTGGCTGTACTCCCTACCTGGAATGCCCTCCCTCTTCATCTCCTTCTCATGGCTTCCTTCAAATTTCAGCTAAAATCTTGCCTTCTACAAGGAACCTTTCCTAATCCCTCTAAATCCCAATGCCTTCCTTCTGCTGGTTATCTCCAGTTTCTCCTGTGTTGGGAGAATTTTCCCATGGGAGTTTTAGCTTCTCTTGGCAGAAGCTGAGGGTCACAACCTGTTGCGTGGCAAAAACAAGGAAGTCTCACAACGCCTCTCCTTCGCTGACACTCAGCTCCCACGGTTGGCTCGGCTCTCCTCTCATTGGGAGAAAAGTCCTACTCATACCCCTGACACGAGGCTGCAGGTGTCCAGCAGACTTGGTGATTGGCTATCACGTGGAGATCATGCTTTGATCAGGTGTTACTAGGCATATAAAAGAAAGCTACTAGCACTTAATAAATGGAGCTTCTGCCATCTCGCTGTCTCCCGCCTCTTCAGTGCACCTCCGGGTTGAGAGTATTGAGCTGGTCTCCTGCTCACCACTGCAGCGGCCGCATCACTCCTGTATATAATTTATTTGTACATTAGGTTGGTGTCCCACATTAGATTGGTAGTTCATTGAGAACAAAGACTATCTTTGTCTTTCTTTGTGTCTCCGAAGCTTAGCACAATGCCTGGCACTTAGTAGGCACTTAATAAATGTTTGTTGACTTGACTTGATTTGATAGATATTAAAAAAATCATGAAGGACAATAAATCCTCTGAGTACGACTCCTGACACTACCTCACCAGCCCCCACTAACCATTGGACTTTCCAGTTTGTATAGTTCTGTTTGTTAGGAAGTGCTTCTGTATCACCATCATCTCTCCCCTATGTCCTCTCTTCTCCAGGATAAATTCCCAGTTCCTGCAACCTCATATGGCCAAACACGCCCTTCATTGGCCTCCTCTATTGGCCCACCTCTAGACCTTCTCCATGTTATCAGTATCCTTCCTGAAGTGTGATGTCCAGCACCAAGCACCATACTGGAGATAGGGTCCGACCAAGGCAGAGGACAGCTGGATGGTCACCTCTGCCGTGGTGGGCACAACCCTTCTCAATCACCATAAGATCACATTAACTCTGTTGGCTGCCAGGGCACAATGTTGATTCATAGTCAGCTTGTGGTCTACTGAAATTCCCAGATCCTCTTCAGACAAACTGGAGTGTGACCAGGGATTTCCTATCTTGTACTTGTGAAGTTGACCTTTTTTTTTTTTTTTTAACCGTAGTGGAGGTTCCACGTTCTCTCCTGTTACATTTCATGCTGCTCAAATTGGATGCAGACTCTGTCATCCCCACATGTTGGGTCTTCCTTCCCGGCTGACACCATCTGAAAAGTTGACCATCCTCTGCTTTCATCCAAGTCTCTGGAATCCCCAACCACATCGATTCTGATCGAGGCTTGTTCATAGGCACGGTTGTGAAACCTCAAGCTGGTTTGTAGGGTGCAGCTGGTGGCCCAGTGGATAGAGCACTGGGTGTGGAGTCAGGAAAACACCAGTTCTTGGAAGCCTGGGTTCAAATCTAGCCTCAGACACCTAATAGCTGTATGATCCTAGGCAGAAGACTCGACTCTCTTTGTCTCAGTTTTCTCAGCTGTAAAATGGTGCCTTCTTCTCAGGGTTGTGAGAATCAAATGAGATAAGGTTTGGAAGGTGGTGAGCACATAGTAGGCACTTAATAAACGATTATTTCCTTTCTTCCCTTTTACATCCTCTTCTGCCCCTCCCCCCAAGAGAGCTCCTGGTCCTCATGTATTTATTCATCCCCACCCTCTACCCCAGCAAAATTTACTCTTAAGAAAAGATCTCATTTCAGTCGTTTATGCCTCAGTCAGAATAAATTAGATCACAGAGTGATGTCTTGACTTGCTCATGAATTGGATTTAGGTGAGGCAGAGTTGCAGAAAAATCAGTCTCACTCTCTCTTCCAGAGTCATCAAAGTCCAGTGGCAGGACCAAAGTCAGGACGACTGGCCTGGCATGCAGTGGAGGA